GACTCAGAAAATCCTTGCATTCTTCCCCAACATGAATTGTTGGCTGTGATCACAAGAGGATTCGGTTTTCGAAGAGAAATAAACCAGCGGAAACCGCACTCTGGGGACGGTCACGGGTAGGTCGGGCGGAGACAAGGGAACCCATCAGGTAGTGCGCGCTAGAGCGGCCACGTGTTAGGCGACGCATTGCGATAATCCTTTTAAAGCGTTCGAATTCGGAGAATAACGACAATGATTAATAGAATAAGATGCAGAAGAAAAGAGAAATGTTATTGCCATAGGTGGGAGAGGCCAAAATCCGAGACCAGTGAAATCGTTCTTACCACCAACATTTGTGACAGATGTCCGGCGGGAATTTGAACGCGTAGCAGTCCTTCCGGTTTTTCGAATTGTTTACCAAAAAAATGCAATTTTTTGTTCTTTTCGTTCTTATCGTGAACGATGGGTTTCAAGCCAGTGATTTATGGTGAGATAGAATCATAATTTTTCCGTTAACGATTTCTATTTTAGATGCCCGAAAGAATGAGCTTGCCTACCATTCAAGGTAATCGTTATGGGTGCACTATTACTTGAGTTCATTTCTTCCCTTTGATATGCGCTTCTGTGTAGCTTTCAAGCTTGCAGAGTTATGAAAAACTTCAACCAGTCACCCTTACTCCTCTCTGTTGTATGCCATAAGGTCCACTTCTGATCACGGAACTATACAACCGTATAAATCACCAATCTGTCATCCGTTTCTTCTTTAAATTAAGAAGAAATTCAATTTCAGATGTTGATATTAATTGTCTGTATATACTTGTCACTCGCTGCTGCTTCTACAGATGACTCACGCCTAGATGAAGAAAGGTGAGACTCATTGTTGGCAGTTCATCTATCGATTATCACAGTTAAAATTCACTATCTCAGTAATAAAAATCTGTAGGTGGTATGCTTGCGCTGCATAATCAAGATATCCTGTTGGGATGGGGGTCTAAACCAACGCCCGCGGCCGGATCGGCACTCATATGTAATGTTAGCACATCCTTGTTTGTCAACCCATCCACAATGTCGCGTTACTGACAACTCGTCAATTACCAACTTCAGATTGTTCAGAGTGATTGAGTCAACATTAGAAAACACAACAGTAAAATACAAATATACACAAGCAGAAGCAAACTAGCATTTCTACTTGAGTTATGATGTGACAACGAGCGAAAGAATGAAAAAAGGCGTCCGCAGCCGCACTTCAGCGTTCACCTATCGCGCTTCCGTAGAGCAATACAAATTTAAAGGCAAAAGTCAGGCTCGTGTTTGGGCATTATGGCGCCTGAAATTGAGTGTAGAGATGGGAGGTGGAACGACAGTGAAGAAAAAACGCAAAGAAACCGTCGACAAGACCGAAATCGAAACCCCTTCCTTAGCAGTGAAAGGAGGCTTGCTCGGGGGAGAGCCACGTCCAAACGAGTTTTCCGGATATGCCAGCCGTTCCATCGGTTGATACGGCAATCAACCTAGCTGATCTCACACGTTAGGCCAGCCACGCACCACATCCCGCGGTGGGCGGGACCAGCTGATGTAACGAACCCATCGCTGAAAGTAGTAGGCCAGAAGCCTTGACGGCGCGCAATCTCGAGTCAGGAGTGTGGCATCACCCCTCTGAGCGCATTCCTGGAAATATTAGTGATGGAAAGGCCTTCTATGGTCACCTAATCCTGACTCGTGGCTTTAAATCACAGGATCAGGCGTTAGTGATCCGGCAGTGATCCAACAAGGGTGATACATCTCATTCCGAAACATGAGGCGAAAACTGGGTGTGACCGTGATTAAGGACGTGCAATCCAAGAGGGCTGTCGTTCGCTAGAGGGAGAAGCGACCGTTCCGCTTCCGCACGCTAAAATTTTTTTTACTACGAGATCCTCATTTTTCGAGATCGAGATTCCACCACTGGTCAGGGCTGTGGTTCCCGCAGCAAAAAATCTCCGCAATTCTGAAAATTCGTTTTGTCTAGACGAAACCTCACCACCAATGGAAAATATGACCGCCCAATGAGTATAACTCCTTCGTGGTATACCGTAACCTGTAGACGTAGAGGCTTGGCACTGGGGCGCGCAATGTCACGTGTCATCAATTTTCCAAGCGTGCTCGCCTTCCAGTTCTCGTTTTCTCTGCGTTCTCTCAACGAGGAGAAAATGTGTCGAGCAAACTCGCCAACTTACCAAGCGCCATTATGTATGGAGGTGGAGAACGGCACGATTCGGATTGGAATGCACGTTAGACAAGACGCCAGTGTGCTTTATCGCCTCGTTTGCGCTGCAGCTCTGCTATTCTTTCCATTTTTGGATTGCTGCCAGCGAGATGGCAGGTACCCGTTTATTGCTGTCGTTCGGTATCTAGCATAGCGGTGCGCGCTGGGAGCACGTGCCAACTAACTTGTGCTCCCGCGCTAACGCGTTTATTACCATCCTGATCCTAATGAACTTACATTATCTTGTCGAAAGAATAACGGCGCCAGCGTGATAAAATTGGAGTTTAGGCCCTTCACAAGTGTTTCTGTTTCGTTCCCACCACCGCGGCGATATGAAGAGCGATGATTCTCGCTTTGAGACAGCAAAAAGTGACCGTGATGCTTTTGTTGATTCACTAACGATCGTTGCTACGTTACGATTTATGACAGAAAATGATGAAGACGGATCTAGTCGAGAAGGCGATTGTCTAGGCATGCGTCCCAGCGTTTCGTGACAGCACTATAACGTGGAGTGGTATCGCCGTCTTTCACGACAAATTCGCCACCTTCTCAGACACACAACTTCTTTTCAGGTCGCCAGTCGAGAGATCGCATAGAAGAAAGTTTATCGCTTCTAACATTTTGAGACCTATTTCGAGATTTTAGCATCGCGAATGTGAATGTGCCTCTTCCCCTAGACCATTCGAATTTGTCGGGCAGTTAATTTATCTCTATGCAATCAGTTTAAAAAATTCACAATTGTGTTGAAATAAAGTAAGTGGTGACTGATCGTTGGATATTATTCTGTTTTAATTCGTAGGCTACTTATTGAAAAGAGTCTCGGGTACCATAAAATGAATCCTGAAGGCGTCAGCGATGACGACTTCATTCGTATGCACGACGACACGGGCGCATTTGTTAGCAAACTGAGGTGAGTCTCGATCCAATCGAAGCAAATACTCACGACTAAATGTCCAACACGTTGACGGCAGCGCGAGGCGCACGCGTCGCACCCACATCGTCCATATTTTTTTCACGCATGCACTGCTTCTTTTCTATTTTTTGCATTCATTCTAGATATTAAATTAACCGCATCGATCACATCAAAATATGACTGTACCGGCGAGGTTCAAATTTCTCTGGGTATACGACAGGAGGCTTGTCGCGCGGCGAGAAGGCAGAGACGCAGACATCAGCGGACGAGTTCGAAAGCCGACGTACTGATTTCACCATCGATGCTCTAAATAGGTAGTCCGTGCTGACAGCATCTTATTTCAGAAAGCAGAGAAAGAGTCAAATACAGGACCACCACAAGTGACGACCTCCGAGTAAGCCTGTTGTACTCGTTGATTCCATAGATGTCTACTATGAGGAAAGTGAGGAGCTGAATTAGTAAACTTGACGAACACACAGTGAACATCACCATTTGCATTGACAGAAAACCATTAACATTTCTATGATGGCGTCGATCGCTCTGTGCTGCTGTGGTCTCACACTCGACGACACCTGGTCCAGGAACACCGATCGTCACTACAGTACCCGTTCCACAAAACAGCGCTCGACTCGGTCCAACCCAAGCCTGTCCTGCGCTTGTTCTCGCCACACGAAGGACTGCTTTGTCGCGTCACCTTGCAAAACCGGTCGAGTCCCACGCGCACGACAAAATCCAAAACCGGTTCGTTGCCTGTCAATATCCTTCTGGCGAAGTAGCCGAAGCAATTACAACTTGCAGAATGGCTTAGCGCACTGCGAATTATTATTCCTATCGACGATCGCTCGCATGTATGAAGCGAATGCTGATGAATGCACTCGATTACGTAAGGGGGCATATTTCAGTACAGTACAGAAGGAAAACTTCTGGGAGGTGCAGATGTGATACACGCCTCAGACTATAATTTTGATATTGTCCACACGTGTTAGCGATGAGATTCCGCATAAACGAGAAATTTGAGAATTGTCGCTCGTCTTTGTATCAAAACATTCGAGAATACCGGGATAGAGCTGTTCGGTTTCAATTCGATCGTAAATCTGTCACATATGCTGGGCCGAGGACAGAAAAAATGAACGATTCCACTTGGTTCTCGGAATGCCTTCACTAGGAACTTCTTTGGGCCGTTTCCACTCATGGCAATAACATTTCCTTTTTCCCCTGCATCCTTTCCTATCGATCGTTTTGTCCTTCTCTCAAAATTAGAAGGCTTCATCCCGATTTTCATTGGCTCGCCATATTACGCGCTGCCTCCGGATCGCAGCTTTTTTCAATGGAATCCCTTGCTCCCCCTCCATACCCTGACCGTCACTGTATGTTCTTTTCGTAAGATCATTTCTGTTTGCTAAATATACATCACGTGAAACTTGTTACATTTTCTCTAGTATCACAGCTGACGCGTTTCAAGGACAGGAAGAATGTATTAGTTATACGTGCACGATTCTTAAAAATATATCCAGCCCATATCTGGCAGTAGACGTGCTTCTGCAGAGCAATTCGCTAAAACTTCATAAAGGGTAATCCAAGCAAGTCAACTGAGATTTGACCATTTCTAGTTCGGTCAGGATAGTCCTCACCAAGAAGTGTGGTGGTAATTGATGCTGGTATCCAACGCTCGTGAATGGGCTGCTGTCCATACCGGAATGTATTTTCATTAATCTCGTAAGTTCTACTCTCACCCCCGAAAAAAAAACTGCAGTTACAATAATTGAGTTCCAGATTGTTAACAATCGCGAAACGATCCAAAAATCCGTAGCTATCTGGAAAATATCATCATCTACATCTTCCCTGTGCTCAATCCCGACGGCTATGAGTACACACGGACGGATAAAACTAATCCAAGGGTGGGTGTTTACCCATTTTCAATTCATCGCTTATCAGTTGAGAATCGGCATTGAAATAATGGCGAACGATCTTTATCGTTTTGATAGTCAATGTCTGACGATTGAGTGTTTTCAAGAATTTATGATGATATTCTATGCAATAATCAATAAGTATCAATAGTAAACAGTGTTGAACTATCTACTCGTATTCTTTGCGAATTCATAGAACCAATACTTCCATGCAGTTGTGGCGCGCACAATCCAGATCAGCCAAAGCGTGCGCCTTCGACGGCATCTCCAATGCCTGTTGTCAGGGAGTCGACCTGAACAGGAATTTTGATTTTCGATTCGCAGGTGAATCTTTTGACCACATTTATGGTCACATTTCTCTAGCACAATGAGAAACAAGTTGTGCAAAGTGATTCACACGGCGTCTCCACTTCCTTCCACGTTCGAATCTATGTGACGCCACGTTTGACTTCGCTGCGTTCATAAGTAAAACCAAGGTCAAAGAAACACTAGGGAAGCGGTTCAAACCCGCGTAAGGACATTTTTTACCCCTTTCCATTTCCTCGACGAGATTCGCGCAAGGCGACTCATCAGTGTGAATGTTTGCGCTGTCTTCTGAATGCCTATCTCGCCACGAACGGCAACCCCTCACCAGCAACATAGAAACTATGTAGTCTGCTTCTTAGAAGAGCGATCTGTTGGTACTTTGCCATCACCACGGGTAAAGCCCTGCTGGTACTGCAGAGGCGCCATTTAGCGCGAAAGCCTCACTTCAAACAAGCATAGTCCGAGGAAACAACGCATTAGACAAAAAATTGGCATTTGCATGCATCCGATGAAATCTGTGCTTCTCGGAGTCATCTAACTGCAGCCTATTTGACGCTAAACTGATTTTTTTTTTTTTTTTCCTTTCACGCGGAAAGCACAGTGTGGACTAATGTAGGCCCCCCAGAAAAAGCAACAGCGGCGACCATTAAGTATAACATGTGCCCCTGTTCCTGTTTTCCAATCCTAGCCTTGTTTCTATTGATGGTATCATTATCCCTTACCGAACATCTATTCATCGTAACCATTTTCAAACGATTATTACCCACTGGAATCCGTTCGCCCATCATCACATTGCCTTCAACTCTATTCTCTTCCTTGAACACTGATGTGTTTGAAGTTTGCTACGTTGAGCTAAATGGGCGACTAACATGAAAAGCTTTCAGAAATTGGTGCCTCTCGTTATCCTTGCTCGGAAATCTACCATGGCGCCACTCCATTCAGTGAACCGGAATCAAAGTATGTTAGTGCGTAAAATGACAACTAGAATATGGGAACTCGGCTACAATCCAGGTGTGGTTCGCTAGGACAGAAAGCGATTTTCTGCTTTACGCGTGCGAAACTTTTTTCGCTACGAGATCTCTTAGGTCCACTACTGATCAGGAGTGGACCTGGGGTTCCCGCAGCGAGAACAGTTTCGCACGCGAAACGCGAAATCGCTTTCTGTCCAAGCGAACCACACCCCTACAATCCATAGGTCCATATATATGCCACTGGTACATAAAAGTAAGGAAATATTCATAGTGAAAATCCTTCCCCATTTTTTCAGAGCCTTTTCGAAATTCCTAATGTCCTTGAGAGGTCGACTCGAAGGTTACATAACATTGCACGCGTACTCACAACTCTGGATTTATTCATATTCACATCGCAAGTTTACTTACGCCCCGGATATTGACGAGACGGTAAGAGCTACATCTCGTTACATATTTGTTTTTAAAAGTCCAATTTTACTGACAACGTTGCAGAAGCGAGTTGCACAGAAGGCTGTCGCAGAACTTGGAAAAATGTACGGAACTCGCTATCGATACGGCACTGGTCCGGAAATCATCTGTGAGTGACTGTACCTCATCCACTTCCACATCCAAGGAAAATGGACATTTTAGACGCATTTTCCGGTGGCTCTACGGACTGGGCAAAGGAGAAACTTAAAGTCAAATATTCTTATACCATAGAATTACGACCAACCTACGAAGGTATAATAGGTATATTGCCGAAAAAGTATTTCAAGTAAAGCTATTACAGAAACTTTCAACCGGGTGTGTTTCGATAGCACAGGAAGCGACTTTTTCGCGTTTAGCGCTGCAAAACCCAAAAAGTCGCTTTCTGTCCTAGCGAACCACATCACTTCCAACCTCACTCCGTAAGAATTACCTAACACTGAGACACGCTTATAAGATTCCGTACAAAACACTAACCACGCAGGCTGACAAACTTCCAAGAAAAAGGCACTGACAATAAGCGCCATGCCCATTCAAGATAAGGAATTGTATACCCCTGTATGAGCTTTGGGTCGACCCTACTCAAATGTGCTGAACAATTCGGCAAATAATAATTCAATGTTCGTTTGTTAACTGCTGTTTCAACGCCGTGTTTCGTGCTGCAAAAGCATCACAACTTTCGATAGCACTTTCGATTCCAGTCTGAAGCGGAGTTTTGCCCATAGTCCAGGATTTTTGCGAATTTTTTTTTGAACTAAACTGATTAGATTTTGCTCAACCATCGAGTTCTGGCGGATAAGCAAATTCGGAAAAGGAACTACACGACTTGTTGGGAGGCTATAGCGGACGTTCGAAGGAAGCCGTGGTTGAGTAGGGGGTACACCATTGATCGATTTCTCCTAGAATCTTTAAAAAAAAGTAGTCGATTTGGCTGATTTCTGTCGAGTGAGCCTTCCATTTCGCAGGCCTCAAATCCGAGGTCTTAACGAACGAGTGGAAACAAAAGATATTATTTTGAAGAATAGATAAATTTATTTCGAATGATATTTCGTTTCTTTTTCATTTCGAAAGACAAGGAATTTTAGTCAAAAAATCCATTTGAAGGAAAGACGACATTATTTATGGGCAACCCAAACAAGAAACCAAAACCGCATATACTTCTGACAACTGCAAGTGTGCGAAACACTCAATCATATAAAGCTGCAGACATCTAAAAGAATAAAGCACATACTAGCGTGGCTGCTACTCTTACACTGGATCGAGTAATCATCTCCTGATTTTCTCTTGTTCTACTAACGCTGTTTTTGCTTTTTTTGCTTACATTGCACCTCATAAACACTCAAAAGCACATTCACTACTGCCCATCTGAGTTATTACACCTGAAAATGAAAGAATAAGACAAGGAACTTTCGCGACGGAAGCGGCGCTAGCAGCGACCTGGCGAGTCTTTATGAATAAATGCTGCCTTTGATTTCAAGCCACGTTTATTGTTTGGACAGACACCTGTTCATCACTGTGCCTTCTCGTTGCCCTGCTCTTCCTCTTGATATAGGAGCAGATACACCATGTACTCTCATTTTCGGGTGCAGTAATCTCAGCTAGACAGTAATGGAACGAGCGTTTGATAACAAATACGAAAACATATTGAAAAAAGTTCCTGAACGAAGCTTCAAGGATTGTTTGGTTGTTCTAGGTGTGAAAGTGTGGCAACAAACTGGACATGGTCCTCGCAAGCAATCATGGCTGCTTAGTGGGCTGCTTATCACTTGTTGTGTGGAAACAATAACGCTAGAGTAGAAAGTTTTGTGCTCTCAATCCCATAATCCAAGTCCTCTTCCTGTACTTAGCATACCTTTACAAGAGTTTTAAGAAGAACTTCAAAAACCGCAGTCACGAAATATGATTCTGATCAAACATATGCTAAAGTGGAAGTGATGAAGGATGGGGCAAAACTCAGCAAAGTGATGCGCTATGGTTCAGCCCGTTGGGTTTTCACTTTGTATCGTTTGAAACTTACGGTTAGACTATCATAGAAACCGCACAAGGAGGGATGACAGGACAGAACATATGACGCGATAAAATAAAGACACGGCTGTTTGAAACGAATTTCATTCAATATGAAAAAAAACAGCAGTGATGACAATATCACACCTGACACTGCCTAACAACTCGTCGACTGATGGGAGTCTTCAATTCAGGGGTTTAATACTTTGCCATCTCTAATCAGCGCGTTAACAGGCCCCTGATAGCGTGCCCATCACAGAAAAAGCTCTAAAAATCCTCAGATTAGGCTCGCCTCTTCTTTTCCTACTGCCCATCTTCCCTACTTGAAACAGCACCCCCAGAAGTCGTGTCGGAGTCTATTCAGTGGGTGGGATAGAGTAGCCCACGAGTAGCACAGATGTGCCGTTGTCGCGGCTCGAAAGTGCGCGACAATGGCGCTAGGGTCTTACAAAGTCAGCACAGCGACTAATCTTAGCATTTGGACGAGTTACGGATAGAACTCCATGATATGCAGCGGGATTATGACATGGTAGCTAAATCATAGCCGCTTAGCGGAGCCGTGGAGCAAGCAAGTTCGTACAACTCGTCCAGCCCCGCCCCTCCTTTTTCAAAGAGAATCTTTGTTTAGGGCTTCATCGACTGTTTTCTTTGCTTCTTTTTTTCATTTTTAGTCAGCTCGGCATTCACAACTCGATTATCGACCGCAGTGATTCAAATCAAATTTGGGGGTGTTGCTTTAATGGCAAATACCAAATCGCTGCCTTTGGTGAAATAAGCCATCCTCTTTCTCGTGGTCACACGCTTTTCTTCAGTTTTTCTGCAGTCAACTTGTAGGAAGAGCATCAACAGGCGCAATAGCCAGCCACTGCTTTTCACCGTAGACCACTAACAAACTTTGTACTAACTACTGCACACATGACCACAACTCTTAGAAGCATGTTACCGTAGCTGAACCTCTAACCCTTTACCGCAGTGGTGTCCTTAGCTAGTTTTCACACAAAATATTTTCAGAGTGGAACGGTTTTGTGTTAGACAAGAACCAATTAATACCAACGGCGAAGGAGACATGGGCCGGTGTGAGTGTCGTGCTAGACGAAATTGTGGCCCAATACTTGAATTCACAAGGTAGGCACTTTCTAATTTTGCTAGTTCGGTCGGAAAATTTTAAATCTAATCAAATTTATGATGCAGCAATTTTGCAATGCATCCAACCACATATCCCAATATTTCAAAGCAACTCTTCGATAGTAACAAATTCGGACTGAAAAGTCAAGAGGTTGCTCTAAAGTTTCACTTCCCTGCGCTTATCCGGCTAGGCTAACCATCAAAAAATATTAAAAACCCGCGAGTTATAACCCTTACAGCCTAGAGAGCTGCTTGGGTGGAGTAACGCGATGCGACGCCCCAGATTTCGAGACGTGGATGTGGCCTTAAGAAAAAGGCACATCAAAATGGAATCGAATGATGACAACGATGTTGTCTGTTCGGATAAGTTCGCTCCCCTTCTTCGGGAAAACACACTTATGCACGATAAAGTGTAGGCGAAATAGTGTCACCAAGCGCATGGCCCACATGGTCCATGGACTGAAGGCACATTCCGCGATATCACAAACGGGGTGAAGAGGTTCACACACAAAAAAACACTACTGATGCCCTGAATGGAGCCTTTCTTCAATTGGAAGAAGAAGAGTTGAATAAAGCTTGAAATACACTGCACGGAAAGCGATAGAACGACAGACGGAGAGGGGAGAGAACAGCGCGGAGCGAGACATAGACATTACAATTGTGTGCTTGCAAAGGTTCATAAGGCATGCGGTGATGTAGTCTCAATGTGAGCCCCTGACACACCTCCCACGCGCTTTTTGAGTCGCAAAACGGACCTTATTCGTCTGGTCATGCGACTGCGTACGCAGCAGCGTTATTCATGGGCGATTGGTACAATAATCAATCGCGCAGTGCGTTTTTACTACTGAACCCTGTCATGCTAAGCTAGCCTTCCTTTCTTATCCTTCCTTCCAACAGTGCAAAAGAGCATCCCACAAACAGAGTGAGCCGCGTCAGCTCACGCAACCCATACCACAATTCACTTTCCTTGTGAAACTTTCGCAACGGGAACTGCGACGTTAAAACGGCAGTCAACAAACAAAAAACTTACATAGTTTTTGGAGGAAACACGTTGAAACGTATTGGGTAACAACAGAGTAAGAAAATGATCGAAGAAAGACTGGTCGTAAGAAAGTGGATAAGGAGCAATCTTCCCCCAGCTTCTTTGTGGAAGATAGTGCTGAGACTTACGGGAAACGGCCAGGCGCCGTCGCGCTAGAGCGCGTCAGGTACCTTGCTCATGGACATTTGCTGTTAATTCAAGTTCAAGCAACTGTTTCAAGACTGCAGCCATGGAAAACATTCAAGAATAAATGTGCATTGACAGGCTGGCCCTAGCCTGAATTTCGAGCTCAATCAAGATTTTGACATCAAAATTCGCAACATTACGCACCTAACCAAATTCAGAAAGGAAATTGAAAATCCAACTTAAGATCAAAACCTAGAACCACTAAATCGTGACGCTCATAAAAGTATCAGAAGAAACTTGGTGACAAACAAACCTGGTCACAAACTCAGATTTAACAACCGCTCAAAACAAATCAGGGCTGCAAGATTTTTTGATAGCATGTCAAATTTACCAGTTTTTGCCTTTTATCCAATTGTTTCTTGGAATGGGCTTTCGAGCACAAAAATGCCTTTTTTCAGCAAAAGGAGCAGAAGCAAATGTTCAGCGCCAAAAGCGCTGCAGTGACCGATTAGACGGCTGTAGGCTTTGGGTGGAAGCGTCACCCGGGCTCTGCGCGTGAGTACCTTTCACTAAACAAATTAGCCGTGGCGGGGCGAGTCCGTCCCCTTTAGCTATTTTATTATGTCTTTCTCCAGTCTTTTCTGGTTGTGGTCTATTTGTGGTTTTCTATATTGTTTCCGAGGTGCTTTCTTTTGTTGTTGTTTGTTATACAGACACCTTTGCTTATTAACATTCTAACATACCCAAATCTTTTCTTTTTCAGGATAGGATACCACCACAATCAATGGTTCGAGACTGCGCTAAGACGTGTAACCTCTGCCATTTAATCTCTACCTGACAGGTCGACGAACTCACTAAATGCTCATTTAATAAGTTTTCGTACATCTCGGCACTTATACCACATCCTCTTATCTAAATCGATATCCTGGTTCTAGCTGCTAGGCGTGAAAGGCAGATTCGTGTAGGACTCTGATTTTGTTTCGATAAAAATTATAGTTCTTACATGGTGCTTTGTTTTACTATCCCTCCATCGAGCTTGTCTCTGCTCCTCGCTCATGGCATTGATTCCTGAAACAATGGCACAGTAAAATGGTGTGCGAAATATGAAGGCCATGGAACATTACGTTCCGTGCAAAGATAAAATATGAAAGAAGATGGGAGGACAATAAAAAAACAACAACAAACACTACAACTAAGTGTACTATGCACTTTCCAAAAAATAACCCTTAGAATAGGTTCTTCTATCAATGTCAAGCTAATTAAATGCAACGGTAAGACAATTCCTTGCGCGCCAGCTGCTCTAGAGCGCTCGATGGAATATGGCCCAATTAGAGATTTCACCGAAGGCTAATACGTTACCTGTGCTTAAAATGAGTGTGTCACAGTGGCCGCAAGACGAGGAAATGTGGAACACTTCTTCAAGGTCTATGTGTACCCCATTGAAATTCGACCAAACCGCTTATACTCGATATCCGAAGTTGGTTAGACGTGTGTCACCGGAAATGACGTGCACTTGATAGAAGGTGCGTGGAATAAGCTGGCGGCCAGCATACTTTGCTGATATCCAGCGATGTATGTTGGAAGCAGCTTATCCACTTAGTTTCTATCAAGTGCACGTCAGTTCCGGTGACACGCCTACCCACGGTTCGGAATGATCGACTGTAGGGTGGTATTCGCGGATTTGAGTCGTTGCCGACAGTCCTGCACGTTGGTGATGAAGGTGCGGTGAAATAAAACGGTTGTCCAAACAAACTTCACTGTAATTCAATAAAATATGCTGGAAAGAGTGTCCACGTGAGTTCCGTCAAGTGCGGCGGCGAGCCATGGTAAATATTTCACTAGAAGCTGAGTTGAGGTGAAAGGTGTCCCTTTAGTATAACTGTAGCACGACAGCCCCAAAAACGAGCGGTGCGGGTTCAAACTGGGCCTGGGCCGTTTTGCCCACATCTCAGCACTCTTGTAATTACTGAGAAAATTTTTCAAAAGTATTCGGTCAAAAAATAGCATGTTTATACTTCTTCCGTGCTATGCATGTTTACAACCTTCGGAAGAAGACAACTTCGCTGAACTTGATGTTTTGAACAGGATTCAATAACGATCCTAAGCTTCGTAACAAGTAAACTGCTTTTCAATTTTGTGGGTCATAAGACGGTCTCACTTGCAAGAATAGTGGATTATGAACGAAACTTTCGCCCAAGCGGGACTTCTACGCTAAAATACAACCTCATTATGAGGTGTTACCTTTATAGACCAGCCTTGAGCGGTTAATCAAAATTCGCCTCAAACAGCAAACAAAAACAGGTGGCTACGGGTTCTTGGCATCTCGCCATGAACACAGTAATGAAACCTGTAGACGAGCTATTCATGCAAATCTAGCGATACGTTTAGGTGCTGATTTATGGATGAACGAAGGTCTCCATCCGTTGGTGCTTTCACAGGGTGAAAATGTAGAGTCGAGGTAGAGGGGATGGAGTAGACACCCATATTATTATGATAAAAAGGGATGTACAGCCGATTGAAATTCAACGAATCGGCTACAGGACAACATCCGCAAAGGGTTTCAACGGCCTGCGTGCACCGCTGATGATCCATAAGGGTTTATAGCGAATGGCGTGGGTGGATGGATCTTCCTTTCTTGATTCGTATCGGAGGAATCTTCTAACTAAAAAGACTCGAGGATAGCTGAAGCTTCATGTAAACCATACACGTAAGCAATACTGGATTCACCCAAGACGAAAGCTGCCTACAGGAGATGAGGCTTTTATGGGAAAAATTTTTATTATTCCAAAGAGAACTGTGAAATGCTGCTCTAGAAAGCGGCTGGATGCTTGCACCTGTACTATATGACCATTGCTAGTTCAAACTACCTTCAAAAAAAAATGGCCGACGTCATGCGTATTACGACTAGCCCAAAAATAACTGTTACCTTCCTACTTCATGACTACGAGTTCCTAAATAAGGCGAAGATCATCGTCAAAGATGATTACGGTTGAGAAATGGAAGAAGACTAAAGCTTACCTGTCGAAATTTATGGCACTGAACTATTATGTAATTATTGCATTAAAATGTAATCTAGAGGGCAGTGTCCACTCTAAGTAATGAAATTGTTACTCTTTCATAGCACGCCCAGAAATTCTAGAGAAAGGTGGAGAGCTGCCAAAAGATGGCGGACGTCCCCATTGTCTAAAACCATGATTTTGGCTGGTGGATGTCTCAGCCGATATACTGCTTGTTCTCATAATCTCTTACGCCGAGGAGGTTTGGACAACTCAATGATAAGAGCAAAGACAAAAACAGAATTCATTGGCATCAGACCATACAAAAGAAGTAAGATTCCAAACCGAAAAACGGTCGCTGACCTGCTGAGGTGATGCGAGCGACGTTTCAAAAAGTTGAAGAATTCTTGCTTGAAATGTTAAAGAAATACGCGAACGATTTTAATAAACATAGTACAACCCAACTGCCACCCACCGAGAACCAAAAGCATAACCCAAAACACGTCAGAGATTACACCAGCCATAGTGTTTTGAATTTCCCGTTTCCGCTAGAAAAGCCCATGGTAGGGGCAAATGCGCTCAACACTGCAACGTTTTTCTGTAACGATAAACGATTGCAAAGCGAAAGCTGCTCATATTAATAGAAACAGAGTACAAAAAGACATCAACTTCGAATTAGCCAAACTACCTCAAACTACCGCATTTGGACTTGGTATTTTTAGTAGCAGTAGTAATTACTTAAAAGAGCGAAATGCTCACATGAGAAATGTAAACAAAAAGTGGAAGAAAACTACCGATTTTTTTTTGAAATTTTCAAAGCCTCGTTCTACAAAGCATCATTATCACCGTGACCGTCCAATACCGCTCTCTTCATAGCATAGCGCACAACTTATTCGATAGACAAAGAAAAAAGAAGACCAGAGGAACAATGGAAATAGGTAAGTAGTAAAATAAATAACAATGGTCACTGCCATATGATAGGATTGACGAATAGGCCTCAAAATTCGTAGAAGCTTTTTATTCACTTCGATTTTTCGTCGCGAAGGCATTGGAGTCTTTTTCAATTATAAGCCGAGATTGAAAAGCACAAAACAGGTCCATGCTTTGGAACTGCTTGATGATGAGCTCAACCAAAATCAGCCTACTTCACAAGGACCCTCCGTTTACAAGTGCATTTGCTGGACAAAGTTCCCTCGAGAGCAGGTGTTATATATTTAGATCCTTGTCTGTATGTTATCGTGGTGTGCGGTTAGGTGTGATTGAAGTGTTGTACGAGCAGAGAGTTAAGTACAAACGAAACATTGCTTCAGCTGGCTGTCAGGTTTGGTTTGGTGAGTGGTTGAGGGGGGGGGGGGGGGATGGGGGGGGTGGGGGGGGGTGGGGGGGGTAACCCATTCAGCTGTTCCAGCGATTTCAATGCATGCGGGAGTATTATAAAATCAAGGGCGTCGCACAAGCATCATTTTGGTGATGGATATTTATGCGCGCAGTGCGGACACATGGGCCACTTATTGTTAGGTTTTTCTACTCACTGCTTCTAACCGAAAATGACTTTTCACAGTAAACGAAAACGTCGGCTGACACAGCGTTGAAAATGTAGAAAGGAGCAGTTTATATGCGCGATTCTTTCTTCAGTACGTTGCCCCAGATTTTTGTAATTAAGTGTGCACATGTCACACGGGTTCCAGTGGTATTGAACACCTTTTGAAATCGACAGTTTCAACTCGGCCCACTTCGATGCACACCCCGCTTATCTTGAGCAAGATTCCCCCGCTCTAAGCCCTATCTCATTACCTACAGCTTTTCCAAGTCATTTTTCAGGTAATATAAAGGACAAACGTGGCAAAAAGGCGGACAAATGCACGCAGTACAGGTTCGATTATCAAACTCATTGTGTACATGTCACTTATTCATCCGTCATCAACTTTGTCCTGAACATTGTAAAAATTTGGAGAAAACAAGATCCTTCAGAGTAGCCAATGCAAAGGATACTACTGCCTGATCTTTCTAAAAGCTCACGAAGTACCGAGTTGTTAAACAGCTCTACAACCCCCAAATTGGTTAAGCTTCTCTATACTGATTTTTCTTTGTTTCAAACCACAAGGCTGAAACTGAAGCTAACACCTTCGTAAAGTAATTATAAATCATCACGGATTCAATGTAATTTATTCATGTTTATCCAAGACTCCCATAGCAGGACTTTTGGTTTTTGTATTCAGATGAAACACATCCTTTACACGACGACCGTGTGACATGATATCATGCCACACCTTCACACAGTGCAGATCTTTCCTACTCAATTCGTTGCGCACTTTCCCATGTTCCACGAAGGTTCATGTACATTGTCGAATACGAAAAACAATTTGTTCATTAATGGTAGTGAAACCATATGAGTATTAATGAATGCTAATGAGAAAATGTGAACGAGGTTGCCGCATTACACGAATAACGGCGGTCGTCAATCGTCAATGGGTCAGGCCGCTGTAACTGGAGTTGTCTATCGCAGTTTTATGAATTCACGATGCCAAAAAGTCATTCTAGGCAAGAACAATTTGCCTTGCTGCACAATTTCCTTTACTGCAATGCGAGAAAAATGCCGACGACCACACACTCGACGATACAGTAACTTCATATAAAACAGTTCCTTGGCGCGCGTTATCAGCACTGGAGCAAGTGACTTGTTTCAACACAATCACTGGAGGGAGGTGAATGTGTCGAAACAGATCCCTTGCTTTGGTTGATGTTTTCCGAGAATGTTTGCGGTCCTGTGAATCGATGCGAACGATGCACTAGCACTAAGCAATACTCCTATTGGGGAGTATACTAATAGTCAGTTGGGGAAAGTTTTGAAGTGAACGAGGCAAAAATCTGCGATTCAGTGAAAAAACAAGTAATAATGACCATCAATATAAGCACAATATTGGCTGAGCAGAAGATCTTGTGTGTAACGACCTCACGATCCTACCCACATCCACTGACAATCACTACGATAAGAGGCGGACAGAGTAAAGAAAGGGCGTTGACAAATAAAATATTGGAATCGAACGGGTGCGAGCTTCGCAATGAACACATATATATCTTCTTTCCCTGGAAGCAAACCACTGCTGATACAATGTTGACGTATTTTCCACCTCTTCATCATCAAATCATAGTAGCTGCGTCTCCCAAAGGAGTTCGCTGTGACATAGTTTTCGAAAAACCAAAAGGGTTAGCGCAACAAGGCTTGCTGTTCGACCAGAAGTATCAAGCGAACCATCACCTAACTCACGATGTTAAGACTACTGAGTGCGAAACACAGGGCGCATTTGATATTTGTCTGGCCATGAGCCCCGTCCTCCACAATGCGATGACACGGCGGAACTTGTGACAATAGGACCGTCACCGCTGACTAAGAATGGATGATGCAGCGAGAAAGGACTGCACGAGCTTGTTTTCGGAAAAACTGGGGGGGGGGGGGAAAGGGGGGTATTCGAGCGCTGGACGAGAACATTTTTAAAAATTGGAAGTATCACTAAGCATGCTGCACCTGAGGTAGAACACCTTCTCAGCGCTAGATAGCTGCTGCTCGCGAAATTAAGACCCTGATAGCATGACAGCAGAATCATACCAGCAACATGTAAAGATGTCGTCAACGCAGCGATCGTCGAGCGAAGGTGGATTGTAGCCCATCACTCGGCACAACCACCGAGTCTGACGGACATCCTACTGCGAGAGAAACCAATTTCTTTGGCAAGCCAAAGCTTATTGGCTATACTACACCCTGCGAGTGACTTGTTTTGCGAGGCCTAGACAACAACTGGAAGGAGAAAGAACCACACGTCTTGTAATCGGAAATTAGAACCGTTTTTATAACTGTAAGATCTCAATTTTCGCTCTAAATGCCCTCACCGGAGCTTTTAATAATCCGCAACACTGCAAAAAAATACGTGGCACAACTTAAATCTTTATAGTCAGCAATGCAGTCGGAGCACTCGTTAACCATTGATTAAAACCAGGACATTTTTGTTGGAAAAACGTTTCATTCTACTTCCTTGATTTTGCTTCGGACCTAAATTACATAGAGCACGCTCCCAAGATTGGAGTAATTACTCATCCCTACATGAGATGTTTAGATAATCGGTAGGTACGGCCAAGTACTTAAGAGACTGTTTTACCTGATCTCACTTAACTCGTGCTATTTTTGGACACAAGAGTCACTTCACACTACAATATTGCACGAATTCGTCTGATTTAATCAAGTGCTCATATAGTAAATTGTTCGACATTTACCTACGGTAGCAAATATTTTTTTTTCGAACTCACCCTTTATCCATCTGTAAAAATTACGTATATTTTAACGAATAACACAACACGTTTATTGTTCAATTAACGATATTTAAGAACAGGTTGCAATTCAATTACTTGATCAAGAGATCTGATTACAAAACAAGGTTAGGCTAACACATTAAATTATGATATTACAGACGATTTAACATGTTTTTACGAAGTTTGAGATTGGGGAAAAATAATTTAAGTGCTCGTCCGCTCGATGTAGTCGCCCGCAGTGTTTTTAGTTCATTATTTTTGATTTTTATTTTCTTTATTTTATCATGGGAGTCACGGATCCTAAATAGGTAGCATATTTATTTACAACATTAAATTAGTTAACGTTTAACAAATTTTAGAAAATTGCCCTTTTTTGTTACTGTTATTCTCGTTGCATACAGAAAAGAATGGATAATACTATCTAACCTGCAAGGTCAGCTCATGCCTCTTTTAATACAAAATTTTGCACCTCAAAACAAAAATTCTTAAATTGCATTCCATGAATTACATTTTTCTACTTTTCATTGAGACCATTTAGCCTGGATGCAACGAAACTAACAGGTCCTTTATTAATTCGTTTTTGCCCCAGTCCACAATCAACTGAGTACCCTAAAAACTAACCTGAAGTGCGACGAGCGTTGATAAAAAGCACGGGTGATGAACATGACAATTGAATAACAATATAAGACGAACCAGCACTGCAACGCCTCGAGCTCAGATTGAGTGAAGCCTCAGTATGGTCGGAATCTGGAACATACAACTTCACATGGAATGACAGCAACAGAACATTGGATAAAGCCGCTTTTACAAAAGCTTTGAAAGCGTACCCTCTTGCTCTTCCTGGTCCTCCTGGGCCTCCACGTCCACGGAAGCCACCACGTGGGCCTCCACGACCACCACCGCGGCCACGATCACCAAATCCTCCACGACCTCCACCTCCACCAAACGAGTTCTGCTGTTTCTCACCGCCATCTAAAGCAAAGTTTTTCTACATTACGAATAACAAAAGACTGTGAAATTGTGGGAAAACAATTACCGCCATTTTTGCTGTCACCACCCTCAGTTGGACCTGTGTTGCTACCAGTCCCATTTTCACCTTCCTTGAGATGACCGGGTGTGGTGTCCTCTCGGATCTGAGTGAGTTTGCATTGGTAACTATGTGGTTATGAAAATCTACTGCAACCCTAAAAACGTCGTAGCACTCACTGGCTGTAGGATACGGTTCAGCTCCTCCAACACACCAGCAACTCTCTGATATGCAATATGAGCAGGAGCAATGGTCTCTACCTGAATTTGATAGACTTCAATTATTAGGACCCATGTCGGTACTTCATTGCACTGTAATCAAACGCTTCTTTACCTTGACATGCAACGGACCACCATAGTGAGCGTATTGAGGGTCCCCAGAATTGAGAAGTTCTTGTTCCTTGTTTCTATCCTTTGTGGAACCACGGCCAAGTACATAAATATGACACTTATGCTGCTTCGCCATAGCTTGCAGCGATGCTCCTTTGGGTCCAAGGATTTTCCCAACGAAGTTGAACTAAATCAACGTTATAAGTGACAGTAAAAAAGTACAAATAGCAAAGTTGGAATGTTTGCCATACCCTGGGGTGACGGAAATTCGGAATTAGCACTTTCTTCGTAACCTTGATTGGCTTCGGAATATCAACTTCCAGCCATTCAGGATCTATGTTGTTTTCCAGTTTATCGGATTCTGCAACAACAGAATACAATCTTCTCTTCAGACTAAATCTTCACAGATTCCAAAACCTGATCTAAGTGCAACCACTCACCAGCAGCTAAAAGACGACGAGCATTTTTAAATTGTTCTCCGTATTCGCCAGAAGCATCAAATAACCCGAGTTCGTTATGTATCTCTCTTATGACAACCTGAACAGGCATTAAAGAAACATGCTTTTCAACAGGTAGCAAACTTGCACCAAGGTTGACCAACCTGAACCTCTGCATCCAGTGGGCTCTGGGCAACGTCATAACCTGGTCCTCCAAAACCTGGTGGACCTCCAAAACCTCCACCGAATCCTCCTCCTCCATATCCTCCCGGTGGTCCTGCAAATCAAAAGAGAAATAGAACGACACAATCCAAATACGCACACCACTATGAAAGTTGAAACATAGGGCGGTAACGAAAAAAATGTACCTGGAGGGTAGCCTCCTCCTCCATAGCCATCATATCCATCGTACTGAAACATCAAACTCTTTGAATAGCAATGTCACCGCCTCCTCAACCTTCATGGTAAAGGGTTTCTAATTAGTATTTTCAATCCATACATCTGCACTTACTAGATAACAACTGTAGTGGGACACCAACATGATTAAGAAGGGGCCTTATTGGCTAAACTCCGCTATGCTTAACCCACTGGCGACATTGCGGGTCGATGTGGGGACGCAGCATAGAGATAATTCTTCTACGCAAGATTTTTAAAATTATTATAATGGCACATTAATCAGGAAGGCGTTGTAGTACTTATGGTAATCGTGGCCCATGCATATCTTTCCTAAATAATGTTTTACATAAGCGGTGCTAAAAAGTGATTTTTTAAAGCAAGGCTTGTTATTTTTAAGTGTATACGGCTGGCTTCTTGCTTTCAGTTAGCTAGAGGGCTGGTACAACTTCTCACTAGAAGAGAACGGGATTCGACCCTATTTGCCAATTCTGGAGTGGAAAATTGAAGTTCTCCTCGCTTGCTCCGAAATCCACCCTGGGCCGAACGAAAAGATTTACGCTCATTTCGGGTGCGATCGGGAAAGTTTTGAAACGTGCAAAGTCTCAACAGTGTCTGCTTTGAGATTCAACATTTTTGGTGCCAGTAGTTTGGTGCATTACGACGCATTTTTCGAAAATATAAAAAATCGCATTGTCGCCAATGGGTTAATAGATATTGAGCAGCCGCACATGAGAACCGCCAGTAGGAACCTGTGCCAACAGTTCATACGAACACAAAACGCTCAAGTTTTGCAGAGACGACATCAAATACTATATTTTTCAGTTGTTTTTGAAAAAAGGTTTTGCGCCACTGAGCGACTAGCCAAATGTCTAAGGTCTTCATGACCATCCTGCTCGATGCATCCGATCCATCTCCATCTCCAGCGAGAATCTCACTCGATTCGATCAGGTGTGTTCATGTTTGTCGTATAGAAATAACTAATACTGACAAATAAACCTGACTAAAAGTAGTGAATTGCTGAAAAGAACAGTGCGTTGGAAAGATTCTGGCGTACCCATTAGGATGGTTGGAAGGGCCCGCCCCAACTTTCTGTTTCTGTTAACAACCAAGCAGCCTCAGATCAGACGTATGCACCGTCACCAATTCCCACTCGACATCAACGATGAGGCACTTCGATTGCCGATTCTCTCGCTCCAGCAGGACAGGAACTAAGAAGGACTCGAAAAACACATCAAGTGCAACCTTGACCTCGCCCTTCGTCTCGGGACATTTTTTGCCCGCTCAAAAAGACTGAATGTGGTCGAAGGGGTGGTATACGATTAAGCGAAATCGAAGCCGTGGGTACCAGGGAACTAATCGGCCATACTCCTCCATTTCATTGTAGATTGTCTTGTCAAGTTAGGTCGAGAGTAACAGCATCAGAAAACGAGACTGTGATCAGAAAAGGCTGGTAACCAGTCAGACCCTCTCGAAGCATAGCCTTGGGAGAATGAGGAGGGAGGAAAACCAATCGCCAACAGCCCTAAGGTCTTGGGCGTTGAGACCTCATCCTAACCTCATGTCATGATTGTGATAGCGCCCCCTACTGTGAACACCTTTCTGTGCGCTTCTTTTTTCGGTGAACTTTGAAAGAAGTTCCAATGTTTACCGGGAAACAACTTTGGATTAAGCTAGAAAGACGTGTAACGACAATGAAAAAACCAAGTTTAACAAGGTTCCCTGCAATGAATGTCAAAAGCATTTTCGCCTTAGTCATTCCGAGCAAGACATATCTTGGCATCCAAAGAGCTACGCTTACTTATATAGTTGTTGCCATTCACCTATTAGTAGCAATTAGAAGAAAAGGAGGAATGAACTGAACCTTAAATTTTGTACGGCCCAGAAAAACTTTCCTAAAATAAAGCATATCCTGCCAGTGGATAGTGTCTTTCCTGAACCAAAAAAATGCAGTGCAAACGATTGACAAGCGATTAATAGCTGGCTGGCCATCTGCCATCAAACTTAGAGCACGCACCGCATGAACACGTTTACACAATGGGCCACATGTTCCCGCAGCAGCATTCTGCAAAGCACTCCTTGCGGAAGCACCACAGACTTAGTAATGGTACGCAGAGCTGGTAACAGTCGAGTGGGGCGCTCTGAGCTGCTGCTCACACCCATATGCTCGCAGTTCTTGATTGATGTTCAAGAGCTCACAACCATTTGCTCCGCTACTGCACAGTTATGCAGGAGGCTCTTCATGCCTTGGAAAGAATTGTGTCGACCTGCCTCACTCTTACAAAGCAGTGAGAAAAAACTGAAAATCAAAGAGCAAGTCTCAAGTTGATAAAACTCACTCCTCCTCCTCCATATCCTCCGCCTCCGCCGTAACCTCCACCAGCAGCACCGCCGCCGCGACCTCCACCGCCGTAATAGTCATCTCGTCCTGCCATCTGTAAAGACGATATATAAATGTACTTCATGCGGATTGTTCTTGGCATTACAGAGACTATGAGCCACGCTTGTGATGCGACATGTGGTAAACAATGAAGGAATATCGAGTAGGGAATGTAGTGTTTTTTTCCGAGAATCTGCAATCTGCGGGTGATCAATTCATAGTTTTTATGGGTGAGCATTTCCTCTTCGCTAAATCGGGACTAAGCCTCGGGCAGGGGAGGAGGAACTCCAGGATCATAGCAATTTTCATCTTCCCAAAGTTCCTGCCCACTCCTAGGCTTAGTACTACAGGGCGCGGACGAGCAGAGATCGCGCGCGGCGACTGCCCCCCCCCGAGCCACATTGCGCCACGCGAGGGCCGTATCCTACCCTTTCCCCGGGCTAGGAGAACAAAAGCCCTTTGATTTTTTTTTTCAAATACACTCCCCTATTTTCCACATTCGTTTAGTTTAACAAAATAACAAATATGCAGTTTCTTAGAGTGGCTTTTGTTGAAAAGACAGAGAAAATTTGAAGAGATTTTCCCCCGGCTTAGGAAAAGGATAAGATGGGGACCCAAGCTCGGGCTGAGCCACCTTGAACAGGCGTTACAACCTACTCCCACAAACCACGTTCCAAATTCCGCCTAAAGCTTACCAAACCTACAATCCACTTCAACCGATGTTCCGAGCGCCTAACCCCTTCATTAAATAATTGTCTGTCAAATACAACCCGTTCCCCAATGACTAAAAATGTCATCCTCCCGCGTTGACGAAATCGCCGATGGTTCCACCTGACGAGTTCTGCGAAAAAAAGAAGTAAGCACTTGTTCTCCTTGCAATTTGCTACTCGACCTCCACTGCACTTCACCCCGCTTGAGACATACACAGACCTCGATCGTCTTGCCGTTTGCTTGGATACGAACCTCAACCAAAATGTAATCCGGTCACAAAATGCGACCGCACTGACCAGTACCTGAGGAGGGAGAAGGGTGCGTGGTGTTGCGGTATGGATTGCTGACAGAGAGCAGATTTGTTTCGCTCTTCACAAACGAGTTTTGTGGTTGCGGTTAACGACCAGTCCACACCTGAGGGCACAATGTGGCTAAGAGGGAATGCTGATTTGGGCCAAAGCTTCCCTCCGTGGGCTTGGTCCTACGAGCTTCCTACAGAAGCCTCCCCTCCGAGGGACACTGCGCCACGTGGGGTCAGTTTTGCGCTATCAAGGCGGAAAAGTCGTTTTCTCCCCTCGCGACACGCACCCCAACCAACCATAGGTCAGTGCCTTAGCATTCGAAGGCGCAATGTGGCTCGGAGGGGGCCAGTCGCCGCGCGCGGCGTTGCGGCAACAGGAAATTCGTGAGCCAGGGGGAATGTAGCCAATTCAGGGGGGTTGGGGGTGAGGGCAGTCACTTAGCATGCGTGAGAAGCTGAAATGTTCCGTGAGAAGCTGGAATGTTCGAGTTACACTACATCGCTGCGCGGCGACTGGCCCCCTCCGAGCCACATTGCGCCGCATCGACCCATCAACTCAACCACCCTCCCCGACCTATCACTTTTTTACGAAAAGGACGACTGGACGTCCATCACCCAAGATTACATCCCTCGTAACACCTCCTTCATGGGCAACCTACCCCCCATAATATCAATGAGGTTATTAGCTAGTCGAATCGCACTGGCTCGAGACATATGACTCACCAGAGAAAAGAAGGGGTCTCATCCAGTAAGAGGGGGCATGTGCTGCGACAGTTCACACTGCATGAAGTGAACCACTTTTTTCAGGGGAGGGAAGCTCCGGGGGGGTGTAGGCCCTGTTCAGAGATGTCCGCCGGCGCGAAAAAACGCACAGGCGAAAATCTCCGCCAAGATTTAGATACGCATCGACTGAGAAATTGTGAAACGCGTAAGCGAAACGTCCGGAGCAGGCGAATTTCAGTCAAGAGTTTGATATGTATCGACTGTGAGAAACGCACAGGCGGAAAATCGCGTGAGCGAAGCGTTCGTAAGTCGATGCGTATGATACTCATTTTCGTCGATCCTCCCACTTCACGATTCGCCTGTGCGTCTTCGTTCAGTCGATACATATTTCACATTGTTTCGCCTATGCGTTTTTTCGCGCAAGCGGACATCTCTGAACAGGGCCTAAAAATCAAGCGAAATAGTTCACGCATCCCGGGGATTCCCTCCCCTAGCAGAAGTTGGAATTTCTGTAGCCGGCAAGAAGCTGTCACACCACATGCCCCCCCCCTTACTGGATGAGACCCCAAAAGAAGTAAAAAAATCGCCAAAGCATACTGGGTATTCCGTAGAATTGTATCGCGAACAGTAGCACACAGCTGAGTCCGTCCTGAGAAATGGAACGGGGGTCACCTCTTGGCGCGTTGTCTCTTGTTTCTTGAGTGATTAGGCCGACCTCTCGCCGTTCTAATTCTGCTATGAATGGGTGTTAGAGCAGTATTTGTTTTTTTTGGTAGCACTGGATGTTTCTCCGCCTATTTATTATTAACGAAAGGTGGTCATTTTGTTCTTAGGTAATGTACCCGTCCGTTCCACCTTCTATTACAATTTAGGTTCATTCCGGTTAAGTGGGGCTATCAAGTGCTGCCTCACACACCCACCCCGAAAAAAAAAAAAAAACAACACTAGACTGCCTACACTCCCCCTGGCGCACAGGTTTCTTGAAGTACGGAGACCCCGTAAGCCAGGGGGAGTGAAGCCAGTTCAGGGGGGTGGGGGGTGAGGGCAGCTATTAGACGTTGCATCACAATGCCCCCCCCCCCTTACTGGATGAGACCAATCTACTTTTTGCTCTGATTACTTCTCTCTTGCGACTTACTAACTCTTGCAAATGTACATGTACTTGAGGGGAGAGGACGCTCACGCTATTTAAGTTCACTACTAACATTTTATTTTATCATGAACGTTTCTCTGAGCAAGGAAGAAGGATTCTGAAAGGGGAAGGAGCCTCAATATGGGCAGACAATCCTCACTGCATGCCAAGGGATGAGAGTTTCCATTCTCGAACACGGACCTCATTCCCCTCCGAATATCCTCATCTCTTAGCTCACATTGCCTTGCTTTTTCACAACACCTGTGCCGCATTCCGTACCACAGAGAGGAATATATCGAAGAAATGACCTCAAAACTAAAAAGCCGCTCTTTGTCCTAGTGAACCACACCCCTAAAAACTCATGGAAAACATCATAGCCAAGTTTCTGGACGAGTTTTTTGTTCGGAATCTTGACTTTCAGGGGGATTTTCATCCAGGTCGTGCTGATGCAAGATAGATTGTGCACATCCTTCAGTGTGTGGGATGCATCCTCGCTAGTTCCCTAAAGCCCCCAAAACGACAAATGACTTCCTCAACTTCCACAACATAGAAACCCTCCCCGTCGGACTTATAGTTAGGTAACTTTCGTCAATTCCACATACGTCCAGTCCGTTCGTTCTCCAAAATGTTAATACATATCAACCTTCCGTTTGGCTTAACCAGACGAACGAGTGACCATGGGGTATGACTGAGGCTTTGAAGAGGACGGTTCTTTGCAGTGGGGTGTACAAATGGTTACAAGGCTTCTGTCAACCAAAGGGTGAGAGCGTAGCTGGAAAAGCACACACTTTGTGTCTTATTGGGACTAAGCCTTTTGAAGAAGATAAAGAAAGAGGAGATGCTGTGATAGTGTGCACTTGTGAGAGCTCCCAGACATCACTACAAAACGCTGAACCGCCAAGGCTCACGGTTGACAGATGTCCTGAGACCTGTGCAAATAAGTAATCGCCACCGAAGTTTATGCCCCGCCTAGGATCCCGGGTCTCTCCATTCCCAGGCTCTTCCCCATCTTAGGGTAACTGGTGATATTAGTGGCCATTATGCTTACGCTGCCACTTGGTTCTTTCATAAAGGGACACCGCTGTTCCCGCCAAGAGTGTAGACGAGGGGATACCGCGGTGTCACTTGACCCAGGCCCGGTATCGGACTTGCAAAGTTCCATATCATTCTTATGAGAATAGTGCTCCATTGTGGCAGAACTGCTCACACACTCTTCATAAAGACATCAACTAACGAGCAAGTGTGTTGACGCTAGTATCAGAGCTCTTCGTCAACTGTATCTCCGAACGCCGCAAAAATACCAACTCGTTTGGAGTCGATCATAACGAACTCCATGCCCTCCCCATAATTATGTTTCCAAAAACATCGTTACCAGACAGAGACAGAAAACATGAACTTAGCGTTCCGAGCCATATTTCGAAGCAAAACATATTCAGGCATATAGCTCGCTTAAATGTCCGGACTGGCCCGACCTTCGATTGTTAGATTCGCTGGGAGCGTTACCTCCTCATCTCTTCTTGATTAAAGTAACTATTGGTGTGTTCGTCAAGTCGAGGTTTATCTACCGTGAGCAAGTGTTATTCATTATCAACGTACTACTTGATCGTTCTTTCACTCGTCATCATCTTCAGCTTCTTCTCCCTAGCGTAAGCTTGCAACTGATTTCGCCCGCACAGCGCCAAGTGCAAAATCCTGCTCCAGTCGCGCCGTATTGTCTTGGTTGTATGACATCTAATCCTTTTGGTGTGGCGGGAACCTGGTAGTAAGTAAGAATGCGTGAGCCAGGGGGAATGGGGCAATTCAGGGGGGTGGGGGTGTGTGAGCCACTTAACCTGTGGCAAAAGTTTGGGCCTTAGTGTCTGGTGTCTGGCCTTGTGAAGGGACGCAGAGGAGCAAAAGGATTAGATGTCACAAGACCGTATTGTCTACCGCTTCACCAGATATTTCTCCGTGGAAAGAGTCGAACTCAGTCATCCATACAAGGAACTCGACACATCGATCATCCAAGCGGACACCTATGTATCTGCTTCTGTGCGGAAGTTGCGATCTGATGCCGTACTGCGATTGTAGCTTTAAGGCGTTAGCTTTCAAAAAAAGCTTGGGAGTTCAACAGCTCATGTAATAGGATGTGGTTCGCTAGGACAGAAAGCGACTTCCGCTTTCCGCAGCGCGAAACTTCTCCGCTCTGGGAACCCCAGGTCCACTCCCAAACAGTACTGGACCTGAGATTCCCACAGCAAAAATTTCGCGCTGCGGAAAGCGGAACTTCGCATCTGTCCTAGCGAACCACGTTCCATTATATGAGCTGTTGAACTCCCAAGCTTTTTTTGAAAGCTAACGCCTTAAAGCTGCAATTGCAGTACGGTCATCCGATCGCAACTTCCGCACAGAAGCAGATACATATCAATGTCCGCTTGATGATCGATGTGTCTAGTTCCTTGTCTAGTGAACTGATGTGAGTTCGACTCTTGTTCCCCCGGAGAAAATGTCTGGTGAGACAGTAGACAAAACGGGCGTCTGGAGCAGGATCTTGCATTGACGCTGTGTAAGTGAAATCAGTAGCCATGTAAACATCCCAGGTGCGTGAATTTTTTCGCTTAGGTTTCCACACTCACTCACACCGGAGCTTCCTTTCCCCTAAAAATTTGGTGACATGAATAATCGCACCACATGATCTCCCTTCTCCATTATTGGAATAGATATTCGAATGAGTCGCCAGCGCTAAGTGAGTTGGAGGGAGGGGAGGGCAAGCGACGGCGCACTCTCTCAGGCGCGATGGCACTGGGCCTGAGCCTAGGAAGGAGTGGATTAGGCTCTAGAAAATGTGATTTGTAATTTTGCAGAATCCAACGTTCCGCAGTTTTGACCCTCCATCCTAGACTCAGGATTAATGCGAGCGCTTGACAGACGCACGTCTCCGCGTGGTCCTCGTCAACTCACTTAGCACCGAGTCGCTTAGTTATCTCGGGTATAGTACGTGTAAGCAGTTCGCTTCCAGTTATGGCAGCCTTTGCATCTTCTTCTCTATCGAACGACGTTGCCGATGTGAAAGCTGAGGAACCAGAAAAGGCCAAATATGAGCCGAAAAAATTGCATACAAACGAAGTTGCTTCATTATTCGACTTAAAAAGCGAATACCTCAAGAAGAAAAATAATCTGATCCGAAGTGCTACCGGTGAAATATATCGATCTGGAAAGAGTGTAAGTCTCTTATTTACTGCTCAAGACGTTTAGGTAGACTCCTGTTAATCATTCATCTTTTTCAGAGCGTATTGGCTGTGAAAAAAGAGGAGAAGACTTCGCTGAAGAAAGAAGCTCAAGAACGAAAAAGGCGCATCAATGAGCATGAGGCGGCATTACGGAAGGAAGAAGAAGAACGTCTCGCTTTGGTATCCAAGAAGCTTAAGGTATCGTCTCTGCAAAACTTGTGTTACACAGTTCTTTTGAACGATTACTGAGGTAGACTTTGACATAATTTGTCATAGTGCCACCAGACGGCAGTAAACTCGTCCATACGTCCGCCGTTTTTGCCTATACACGTCCTTTAGCGTTAATCAACGGCCAAGCAAAGGGGTCCCATTTGCGTCTTGACAGATTCTCTGCTTTTTCCGCCACGTGTGTGCCTTTAGCACCCTGCGTCCATTCTAAACACCTGTAGATCCCATCGTAATCGTTGCTTTCAAAGTCCAGTTTTGACTTAGCTAGTCACTAAATTCT